ATAGCACCACATCGATGAGATAAGGGTCGATTTTGGGATGGATTTGCTTTTTTAGTTGACTTAACATGAAACTTTTTTGGATTATCTTTGATTGTTGTTGTTATGTTCGCCAGCAGAATGTTTTGCTGGTTTTCAAGACCATTAGGTGGTAACCGTTGTTGTGGACGATATTCAACATTGTGTGGCACAGATATCTGCGACATGAGAGATAATCGACGTTGAGCATTGATGAACATACTCATACGACGACCATTCTGTTGTTGTACAACGACGAAAACAGGCAGAACATTTGATTGTCGTTTACCACTTGCGCTTTTTATTTGATAAGAATTTCGCCTCATTTTTCCAATATGCAGGTGTCTCTTGCTTAATTGACAAAACTTATTGCTCGTATTGATCAACAATGAAGGTCACTGTCTTATTAGAATAAGAATGAATATTCTGCACTCCTTACAGTAGTATTTTATACAGCAAAGAGTAAATAAAACTCGAGCACTTGAAGATAAAAACATTCATACATATTATTTTCTGTTTTATAGCCATGTATCATAAACATAGTCCAGGTCATTTTTATGATATGATATGTAACTTTAAGTCAAGAGTGAGTCAGATAAAGATTATCGGTTTTTTATAACCCGTTTTTTTAACTTATTCTAAATCAGAAACTTTCATTCTGATGTCACAACACAGAATTTTGTGCAAATTTTCTTGATATATTATCTTTCAAATGAACATTTGCTGTTTGTTGTAGCTTTAAAAGTATTGTGTGCGACAAAAATATGCTTTGCTGAACAGTTTATTACAAAACAATGACATTTTTTTTTAGTTATATTATAAATTATAAATTTCGATTTTTTTTCATACGTCAAAGAAAATAGTTCGATTCCATTGTTTGATGAGAAACATTACTCAGACCCCACAATATTAAGCATTCTCTAGAATTTGAAATTTTACATTGCTTTTTCATGAAAATTATAAGGTGTGGGTGAGTGTGGATGTATTCATTAAAAGAGACTCAACTCGATAATGCTTTGTCTTGTGCTCCTAATAATTTGATTTCCACTTTGAGTTATGTTTTTTTTGAAAAAATCAAGGCTAAACACTACATATTTGTCATTATTGGACTTTGACTGGACTTTATCATTAATAAATGAATTTCGTAGAAAAGTGATGTCATATAAAGTACTTCTGAATATATGACACTTAAGTGGTATGACATCAAAGTGATTATTATCAATCAATTTACTATTTACCTGTGAGCTTGATCATAAAAACCATTGTATTACATGTTTCATAATTATCTAATAGAGCCTTCAATTCCATTTCTTTTTGTCTCTTTCGCTCTTCTTCTTCTTCCGCTTTGTTTGTTCTTTGTTATTTTACACACTAAAAGTGCCTCATGACCAGAAAAAGGACGATATGTATCGAGTGGAAAGTAATCGAGAGAAGATATTCTCTCACTAGGTATCC